GAACGGTGATGTGGCGTATGGGGACTTTCCGTCCAAGGCGATGAGGGTGTACGGGACGATATGGGACGGGTCGAGTTGGGCGACCGAGGGAGGGCGGTACAAGGTGGATCATAGGTACGGGCCGTTTGTGGCCGAGTACTCGGGTTTTGTGATGGGCGGTGGTGATTGGGTCGGGCTCAAATTGGGCCGGGAGGAGCAGGCCCAAATGGAGGGTTTTAGAAGGAGGTGGATGACGTATTCGTATTGTTACGACAAGAAACGGTACGCGGTGGCGTTGCCGGAGTGTGTTTTTGAGGCCGGGGAGTTTGAACGTCTAAGAAGATTTGATCCTTGGACGTTTGGGTCCTCTAGCAAGAGATGATTTTTTGTTTGATAAGGGGGTATGAGGAGGACAAAGATTCATTTCATTGATTTTGATGAATAATTACGGGATATGTTACATTCGACACCAAAATGTTATTAAGACGATTGTGGTTGCATTTTAGGAAAAAGTTATGAACACATGTTACGTATAAGAAGACAAATAAATTTCATATTGGAGGACTTGAATTTGTATATTATTGTATCACAAATCTTGTGTAATCCCCGTGGTTCGACTCGAAAAAAAAATATACCTCTGATATGAAAAGTTGTATTTTGTTAATGTTGTTTCTAAAGTTTGAATATGGGAAAATGCTACAGTCTCGTTACGGAACCATTCTGTCGGGGTTTATAACTTTTAAATCATTATGAAATCGTCGGTGATAGTTGATATAACGGTTACAAACCTGACGAAATGATTCTGTGACGAGACCCTAGCATCTCCTTTGAATATGATTTAAAAAACTATGGCCGCCTAACGAAAAGCTTTGCTTTCATATTCTTAGCACTGGTAGAGCTATTCATTGTATTTCCAACAACAAAATCATAATAGACCAATTATGTGCATGTAATAAAATATAGTCATATTAAACAAATTCTTGTGTGAGACAGTTTAGCCAATTGACGAGTTGACTCGTCCTATTCTTAAACAAGGATCTTATGTTATGAAATGTCTAAACTTTTATTTATATTGTTTTTCGAGTATAAAATTTTAATTTAAAAAGTACCGCGAAGTTATTAAAAGAGCATGACAGTCTAACCGTTAGGCCTAGTTAACACTAGCCCAGTTGAGAAACTTGAATTTTTGTGAGCTTGCAAAATTGCATATATATGCACAAGTGACAAGAAACCATATATACTTATAGAGGCGGAGGTACGTTGAACCATGTCTGGGCTATAGCTCGGTGACCTTTTGAAATACCTTGAGTATATAGCCCACTTCTTGTTTCATAGATGTGTATGCCCAAACACTTCAAATACTAATATTCAATATCTGAATTGGCATCTAATCAACTTTTGGGAAATTAATTTGAGAGAATTAAAAGTTAAATGCTTGAATACTCATTTTTTCTTTTGGAAAAACTTAGTGAAAAATCTATTTTTCAGAAAATACAATGTGAAAAAATGTTCACTTTTTATTAATTTCTATAATTGTTAATAGGCAAAATTGCATTTTATGCCCTACAATTAAGGGTGTGTGGCAAATGTGGACAACTTCTTTTTGGTTTAGCAAAAATGTCCTGAAACTTGTTAAAATCCGAAATTCGTGTCCAATTTGGACACAAATTTTAAATTTTAATAAGTTACTGTCATGTTTTGCCACACGAAAAACCGGCCAAATCTGGTAACTTGTAGGAAAATTGAG